AATTGTTTTTTCTTTTTTCAAATGGACACCTAAAAGCATGTGGATTCATTTATTTATACTAATACTTACATGGGGTGTGCATTGGCTCTTTGCGGAAGCCAAATACTAAGGCAAATTGGGACACTTCAGTGTGCTTTCCCTTCTGCCAATTCCAAATGCAAGAATCTCCCCCGCTCCTCAAGTTAGATCAATGGTCCACAAAAGCTTTGTGTCACTCTGTTGATTCTGTACCAACGCAGGTCTACCTTTCCTGTAGCTCTGTGTTTCTCTAGCCCAATGGACTTTCCAAGAAGTGAAGCTGTCCCAAATGCTGCCTGCAGAGCTCTGGATGTTTTGTTGTTGTTGTTGTTGTTGTTGTTGTTGTTGTTAAAATATAGCAAGGGGAGATTGTTAAAATACAGTGGTACCTTGGTTCTCAAACAGAATGCATTCTGGGAGTCAGTTCAACTCCTGGAACTGTTCAAAAACCAAGGTGCAGCTTCCAATTGGCTGCTGGAGCATCCTTCAGCCAATCAGAAGCCGCGGAAGCCACACCAGACATTTGGCTTCTGAAAATCATTCAGAAACCAGAACACTCAGTTCTGGGTTTCGATCATTCAGGAGCTGATTTGTTCGGGAGCCAAGGTGTTTGAGATCCAAGGCATGACTGTAGTTGAAAACTTCATATGTGTTTTTTAAAAGCAATGTTTAACAAAACAAAAAGGCACTACAAAGCGAGGAAGTTAATCTGATTCTCACCTTCTGCCCCCAATGACAGGTGGAGAAAGTTGTTTCTTGAGCCACTAGTGGAATGTATACAACAACAGGGCACAACTTGGGGGCCACCAAAGAGAAAGTGTGCTGCTGTTCCTCAAACTTCATAGGGTGATGGCACTGCCAAGCAGGGCATCCCTTTTTAGGGGCACAGAAGAAGCACTCTGCTGTCCAGAAGGTGTATCTACTTCCTGCATGATATTGTAAAAGATCCAATGAACATCTCTCAGACTGTTTTATAGTCATTTGGACAGCCAATAGCTTTCTACTTCTTATTAGCAAGCAGCTTATCTGATTCATTTGCCTTGGGGAGAAACTAAAGTACTGCACCTCACTGCTGAACCCATACTGAGATTTTTTACAGTAATATACAAAATGGTGGCTGTTTCTCATGTGTGTGGACAATTCATGCAAAACCATGCATGGTGAACAGAGAACCAGCATAAATGTGGCAGCTGTGTGCATTATGAAGTTGACAAGACACAGCGACATTAATATGACATAAACATGTGCAGTATAACATAGATTAAGAATTCAGGAGAGGAAGAATTCGTTGGTGCATATGGGCCATTAATCCCTTCTTCCCCCCTCTCTCTCCTGCTCTCTGTTTTATTGCAACAATAAATTTTGATGGATTTCACTGAAGAGGATGCCCACAATCTCTTTTCACTTAGGCAATTACAAATATGCAATAATGTGTGTTCTGTTTGAGTCACCGGTGGTGGAACGGAAGTGTGACTTAACAGGCTATTCATGTGTACTGGAGAATGTTTGTTTCACGTTGAGACTCAGCTTCCCTTGGCGCATTAACGTAATTGCTGGAATTGAAATGACAAGAGCTGTCCACATCTGAGAGTAAAGGTCACTTTTTGAAAATCCTTTGAGGAAACAAAAGGCTTTATTCATCCTGTGTTGAATTTGTTTGCGATTCACTTTGCCTTGGGATGGCACCTGGCAAATCAGGACATGACAAACGGTATCCTGCTCAGATCAAAAAAGATACAACTCATATACAAATGAGCAGCCAATATGCCAAGAGAGCTGAGTGGCAGAAGAATATGCCTTGGATATTGCCCCTCACACTCCCTCTGTCCATGGGAGCAGGGGTCCCTCTCTACAGTGATACTGGGTCTTCAAAGTCTACCAGGACAAGTGTTTTTTTTATATAAAAAAACCCCACCTGTTTTGATTTCAGCCATTCTCTTCTTATTTCACTTATTTAACAATATTTATATGCCACTTGACTACAAGAAAACCTCTAAGTAGTTTACAAGACATACTAAAAGTATCAATTAAAAACAGTTAAAAGCAAGTAATTATAAACAAGAGTTACTGTATTTACGTGAATCTAATGTCCCATCCAATCTAATGAGCACCTCAATTTTCAAAACCTTGAAACCAAATAAGTATTTGCTGGCAAATGTAAATGCACCATCAAATCTAATGTGCACCCTAATTTTCACAAAGCCATTTACCCAACATATGTGTGTCTTACATTCGTGTAAATACAGTAATTAAAATCAACAGTAGACTAAAAAGAGATTAAAAACACCAATATCTAGGCGTTTGGATAGACTTGCCTAAACAAAAATGTTTTAAGCAGGCCCTGAAGAAAGTACAGTGGGGACTCCTCCTGCCTGATGTCAAAAGGCAGGGAATTCCAAAGTGCAGGCGCTGCCACACTAAAACACTGATTTATTACATGGCCTGGTAACAAATTGGCAGGGTCTCACTCCTCTCCCCATTTTTGGCAGTGGGAAGATGTCGTGTTTGGAGATCCAGTCACAGGATCTTGTTTGTTGTTGTTGTTCTTGTTGTTTAGTCCTTTAGTCATGTCCGACTCTTCGTGACCCCCTGGACCAGAGCACGCCAGGCACTCCTGTCTTCCACTGCCTCCCACAGTTTGGTCAAACTCACATTAGTAGCTTCGAGAACACTGTCCAACCATCTCGTCCTCTGTCATCCCCTTCTCCTTGTGCCCTCCATCTTTCCCAACATCAGGGTCTTTTCCAGGGAGTCTTCACTTCTCATGAGGTGGCCAAAGTATTGGAGTCTCAGCTTCAGGATCTTGTTATCCAAGTTTAATTCTTGAAGGAGAAAAACAGAGTGAACATGGAGACCCCTTCCTATTTCTTTCCACACTGTGGGAACTTCAGATAGCTCCCTAGGCACATCTTTCATCAGGAACCCAGCATCTTTCTTGGCAGGCACAATCCTTGGGGATTTTGGATACAATCTCAAAGCATAGAGTAAGTTGAGACTGCTTATCTATCAGAAGTTCTCTCCAGAATATAAAACGAAGTTGAGATGCCTGGGGCAAGAGTTGTTTTTATAGCATGCTATGGGGGGGAGACGCGGGTAGCACTGTGGGTTAAACCACTGAGCCTAGGACTTGCTGATCAGAAGGTCGGTGGTTCGAATCTCCGCAACGGGGTGAGCTCCCATTGCTCGGTCCCTGCTCCTGCCAAGCTAGCAGTTCAAAAGCACGTCAAAGTGCAAGTAGATAAATAGATACCGCTCCAGCGGGAAGGTAAACGGCATTTCCGTGCGCTGCTCTGGTTCGCCAGAAGCAGCTTAGTCATGCTGGCCACATGATCCGGAAGCTGTACACCAGCTCCCTTGGCCAATAAAGCGAGATGAGCGCTGCAACACAAGAGTCGGTCACAACTGGACCTAATGGTCTGGGGTCCCTTTACCTTTACTATGGGGGGGGGGTGACACTCAAGGTAGTTTCCCTGTCACCCTGATTGACAATTAGTTCTGTCAGAAACTCATTTGAGGAGCGTTCTACAGGTCCACAGATGTCACTCCCAATACAATTTTTAAAGGGGCTGCTTATGGAAAGGTGTACCTCTCAAATGGCCAGATTTGACCCAGGCAACTACCCTAGTAGAAGTGGGGCTGGCTGTTGAAGACGACATGCATAAAAGGACTCTGCACATATGCTCCGATCTGGTTTGTGGCCAAAGGCTGCAATCAAGTGGTACAAGTCTGCGGGCTGCTATGTGATTCTGTCCCAGAGCTCTATGTGCCATAGCATAGCATAGCATTATACATCCATGGGCACATGAGACCTTCAATTGCAGCTCTGACCAAGTTTCATATCCATCGAACCTTTCCTTATGTTGCACAAGGGGGTCATGCTGTGATAGTCTATTTTATTTTTAACAACAATGAAAAAAAATCTGGCCTTCAAAAACTGAATAGTGTTACCCTCAGTCCTTCAAGTACTTCCCTAGCAACTTGGCTTCCACCAGGCTAAGTTACCTTAGAGGCAAAGTGGTTCACTTAGCACAAGCTTTCTTATTTCATTATTTTTCTTTGCTTTTGAATGGGCTGTAAAATACTGTGAATGAATATAAATTAGATACTTTTTAAAAAATAAATCACAAAGCAATGTTTTTGTCAGCAATGAAACAGCCTACATTTAATCAAATTCCCTTTTCCCCTATTTTACCATAGTGGGGGGAATCTGGAATATATATACACACACACACACACACACAGAGAGAGAGAGAGAGAGAGAACCCAAAGAACCCAAACACAGCTATTATAGATAAGAAACTAAGCAGTTCAGTGGCTCATATAATGGCAGCTTTTTCTTCTACTGTTATCAGATTTCCTCCAAATGTTAATTAAAAGTGAACGTAAGAGGGTAATCCAATAATGACCCAGTTGCCAGCTTCCTTAAACCAGAGAGCAAACAACACTGCAGACTGTTTGAGGAAAGGGCATTCAGATTAATTAGGAATGCAGTTGATCTTACTTTGAAATGTAATGTTTTGGTGGTATGATAAACTAACCACCCTCCTGGTCAGGAAATATTTTGATTTCCCTGTCATCATAACCGATTGAAAACAAATTGTTCAGAAATGGCTGACTGGGAGCCAACTTTATCATGTTTTAACAAGGTGCTTATACAAACAGTCTGAAGACTTGAAGCAAACTCTGTGAGCAGGACATAGCAAAGGGGATAATGCAAAAGTAAAATAAGAGGACATAAGCCCCATTTATTCCCACCATTATTTTGAAACTTAAAAGCAGACTCCTTTGATTGATGGACGTGTCATGGAGAGTCAGGATTCAAGTGTTCTTAAGTACAGAAATCATTTGGAACTAAGGCTGCCATCCAGGCTATACTTACCAGGAAGAAAGCCCCACTGAATCGACTACTGGCTAGGGCATACTTCTGAGTAGATAAGGTTCATATTGTGCCATAAATGTAACATCTTGGTCCCCGTTTCTAGGATGGCTTGCAGCTACCATTTGTTTTGTCCCTGACACTGAAGATCGCATTGGCTAGGACAAGCCTAAGGAACCATCCCACACAACTCCTGAACCTGGATGAGAGAGTGTAGTCCCTGAAACCACGTTGGTGAGATGCCAGAATACTTGCCTCCAAGGGCATCACACACAAGGTAGGCAATGTGCCTGGCACAAACACCTAGAAGGACAATGGGGTGCTGGGCTCCGGGCTAGAAGCCTGCCCCTTGAAGGACTGCTGCTTTTCAAGGAAGGGGGCAGAGCCTGAGAATGGGTTTCAGATGTCGATGCATAAAAGGCTTCAGCCTGGTCCCAGATGATGTCAGATCAAGTTGTTCATTCGGAGCTGTCCGTGGTGCTGTGATGCCCCCCCCCTTGCTGCACTGTGGCTCATGTTCAGAACCAAAACAAGACAAAGTAACATCCGCCATTGCCTTGCAACACTGTAATGTCTGCCACGAAATCCTCCATGCTTCAGCCTATGTGCTTATTTCACAGAGTGGCACTGCATAGGATCAGGTCATATGTCAATAAGGAGTGTTTTTATGCTAGGAAAGCTTTTCTCACATCCGTCTAATACGAGCAGGTATGGCAGCTGTTTCCGAATGTACAAGAGCACAGGACACTTAGTAATCATGACTTCAACATCTGCTATACTGTTTTGCAGAATCACCCAGGGAACATTTCCATATTTCATGAAATGATCAAGCAAATGAAGCATATTTTTTCACATAATAGTTCTGACATAACAAGTTTTCCTTTGTGCAAACCAAATTCCATGCACTCTGACATTAGGGTCGGGGGGGAAACATGGATCTTTCTCAAATCAAACTTCCTCAAGTCACACTGTTGTATTTAGGGCTGGTTCCAACAAAAAACAGCTTGCTTCAGGATTTTGCAGAGACCAGTAGTGGACCTTTTTAACCTTTTAGCAGGAGACAGAGAGGATGGGATGTTCAGGCCAATTATTTCAATTGCATTTCCAAACACTCTTCCTCCTCCTCTGCTTTACCCCAGTCATTAGAAAAAAGACCAAACAAGGTATCAGCCAAAAAATACTCAGGCTTGGACTTCGATAACTGCCACAGACAAGGGAATTCCATGCTTGTAAGCAACTGCTGCAAATAACTCTTAGTGTCTTCCTGCCATTCAGTGGCTTGGCTACACTCTCAATTAATCTTATATTTTTAGTCTGGCCTGTAATGTTTATGTTTTGCCTGCTGTTAGTCAAAAGAAAGAAGAGAAAATTAAGAGTCAGTAACGAACCCAACTTATTCCCCACCATTCCCCTTTTCTGAACAAATATGACTTGCTTTTCTACTGTCACCAGGGCTCTAAAGTTCAGAGAGAGAGAGAGAGAGAGAGAGAGAGAGAGAGAGAGAAAGAAAGAAAGAAAGAAAGAAAGAAAGAAAGAAAGAAAGAAAGAAAGAAAGAAAGACGTACAAGAAATGTGCATGTGTGTGTATGTGTATATATACATACATATATATATATATATATATATGGTATGTAATTAACTTCTAACCCTAAGACAAAATAAAGCTGTCCCACAATCTCCTTTATGTCTCAATAGAAATCAGTCACAGTCCATAAATACGAAGCCATCCATCTAATTCGATGACATGATAGGAAGGATTTGGTTTTGAGAGTTTGGGTCACTGATAAACGTCAGGTCACCAACATGCATTCTTTCCCTTGAAAATGTATCTGTTTCACATTCTCCACCCTGGGTGGATCTCTGGGCTGCTGCATTTGAGACCATACACTATGTAATATATAGTAATGCTATATTATTATAGCACTTACTATATAAAGCTGTACAATCAAATTGCGAATACATTCATCCGTACCACATAACATTATGCCCACATGCTCTGGAGGTTCTGGATTTGGGAAAAGAGGATACAATGTGAATGTTGTGCCTTTTAATTGATATTTACGGGCATAAATGTTCCCAGCAGATGAAGTCATTCCCCCCTCCTCCCTCCATCTCCCGCCATGAATTCTCAAGCATCCTGGACTCTCTGCCTTAGATCACAACAGAGCTGGGCATGAAGGATGGAGGGGTGGTAGAGAGAAAAATTAAACTCTTTTAATTGTACACTTCATGAGCAATAAAATACATATCAGTGGTACCACATTGTCAGCTGCAACTTGCTAGATATGTGCCTGTAGCTGTGCACTAATTTGATTCAATGTTGGCCAGGTCTTCTGTATTTTAGGCTTTTATAAATCTGTGTTGATTATTTTATTGTACCCTTCCATGATATTTTTCATGAGCTGGTTTCTAAATACTCTTATAAATTACTACTGAAAAATAAATAAATAGTACAGAGAGAGGAGAAGCTTATCTCTTCCCTCCCCAGCACAATTGAAATGAAACTCTCCCCCATGCATGTGGCTAAGAGATAACGGGGACTTTTAAAATAAGGTTCCTACCTCAAGGGAAGTTTCTGATCATGCTGGGGGGTCACGCCCCACTGCTTGTAATTAAGTCGGCGGAGGGGGAACCTAGGTGTGTAACTGTAGACTATGTATCCTCTGACCATCTCACTTGGACCTGAAAGCATCATTTAGAGACCCCCTCCCTGTTCCCTGGATAAATCTGTCAGTTTTGCTTTCTCTCAGTTTCTCACTTTGCCAGTCTTAAATATAGTTCATGCCATTTCTTAATCCATTTATTTTCAAAAGAAAGAAGTCCACAAGAAAAATTGTATGCATGTTTGCGTGCATTTTTCCTTATATATCCATGTGTGACATTGTTATTGCGTTTTTGTGCACACTTCCTCCTAATATATGCTTTCCCCCTTTTTTGTACACATTTTTGCTGGCAAAATGCCATCACAATATTCAGAGAAATGCAAATTTCAAAGGGGAGCTGTGTTTCAATTTGCGCATTGGTACGTGAAGTGTGAATTGGATGTGTTTGCACCCGAATGCAAACTGAATTAATTTCTCCCTCGTCCCTACTGTTCCCTCAAGAACAGTAAAACTTTCAAATAATATAATAAGACTCATACAAAGGATTCCCAAGAGGAAGGAGCCTAAACTCTTGTTACAGTCGTGCAAACTTGTAGCAAGCAAGGGAAACAAAAGAAGTGATGCTAAAGAAGTATACAAAGAGAAGATTAATCTGAATTTTTTTATTCACATTGCAGAGTTTGGCTTCCCTTAAACCTGAATTTGGATGGTTTGTGTTTGTTTAAATGCAAATTGCGCAGCCCTGATTGTTCCCAATCTGTAATCCCTGGAAGAAAGAGGATGAAATCTTCCTTCAGGTGTTTCTGAGTCACAGTTTCCAAGATCCGCCAGCTCATCAAATTCTGTTCTTAATTCAGGTCACTGAACTGTGTTCTGGGAAGCTTAGAAGCTTCTATACTTGGTCCATTATATTGTGTTGCTGGTTTTTTAGTATTACTTATCTTCTAAACATAGAGGCAAAAACAGAAACCACCCTCTACCGCAGCAGGCGTCATTAGGGTATCTACGAACACACCCTCAGCACCCACAAGGTTTCATCTCCCTGCCTCCCCACTGTTCCATTAGCTAACACAAAGCATTTTAGAAGCATTGGGGGGTTATGGGGCAGTTACAGGTAGGAGAGCATGCATGATACCACATGCATACCAGTAGAGCATTGCAGCATGTATGTGGCATCACAACCGTGTCTCCAGTTTGCAAATGTGCTGACAGGTCCAATGTCATTGGCCATCGCAATTCTACTAAATGGGAAGTCATCCCACAGTCTTAGCTTCAGGCTTTCACTCCCAAACAAGGGCTAGCATGGTTCCTCCACCTTTTCCTTCATCCTTGCTGCTAAGATGGAAGAGTAATGCTTGGTCAACAGCTGCAGACAGCTAGAAACTTGCAATGGGTCAGGTCTAGGAGTTCCATGATAAGGGGTAGGGTACCTGCGCACCAATCTTTTTTGTGCCTGTAGATAAGAGTTTGCTAGACCAATGTCTGACCTTGATAATAGGCTGGATGAGAGTTAATAAACTGAAGCTTAATTCACTGTTACTAGACTGGATGGGTAGATTATGGCCTACTTTGGGTGGGGTTTTTCTCTCCCGGAGAACTCAGTGTGGTAGGAAGGTGGAATAATAATGTAATAAATAAAGTTTCCTCCCAGAAAGTTTATTCAATGGACAGCATTAACCCTCAGTGATCATTTATCTCAGTCACCTCTGGCTACGAAACAAGGCTTTCCACATGAGTAGATTTTCAATCCCTTTTCACAGCATTTTTCTTACCCCAAAGGGATCAGCGATCCTTCCTTCTCTCACATTTTAGCAGTCAGTTCTTCCTTGATTTTCCTGCATTATAGATGTATAGGCTTGTATGTTAAGATCACTTAAGTTTCAGCCTCCTCTGTGGTGCCTGTTTCAGCCGCACTCATTATGACTGAAAAGCCCCAGGGCATAACAAAATGATTGCTTTAATACTTCCCTGGGTCAAACTGTTCATTTAAGAAACCAAGCCCAGAGGAAAGTTGGGTGAGTGTAGGAGGAAGATGCAGCAGCCAAGTAACTAGTAAGCTAGGTCTGAAATAATGGAAATAACCCCATAGGTCAGATTCTCAGCCATGTCTTTTGTGTTCCTACAAAGCCCGATTAAACAATAACCCAGATTTCAAAAGAAGTCATGGAGGAGTAAAAGATTAAAGATATTCTACTGTTAATATTATAAATCTCAATTAAAAGAAAACAAAATAGAAAAACAAAAGGATATTGCATTTCTTTCCTCTAGCCTGCTTAGAATTCTCTCTTTGATACTTTGACATAATGGAAGTGGGTTTCTTAAATGGAGGCTAGGTAGGAATATTAGTAATGGAAAGGGACTGGCAGTAATTAGACATTTGAAAAAGGAAAGTGGCTTGGCATGGGCCAGGAGCATATACGATTAACTCTCATTGACAAAGAATATTTTGTATGGCCCCACAAAATGTATATCTCACGCATATTTTCCATTGTTAGAAGAAGAAGAAACCTCTCTCTTTCCCAGTCTCTTTCTCTTGGCAATAAATGCAACTTTGTTTCCAGACATATGCTGTCAATCAGCATGCAGGGTTCATTTTGTCATTGAAAATCAGAACTTCCTAAGCATCGACTGTTTTCCGAGAACAGGTCAGGCAAAGCCAACAGAGCGAAAAAGG